AAATAACAGAGAGGAAAACATTCAATGCCAAAACATATAGAAGTTGTAGTTCAAAGAAATAAAATTAATTTTGGGAAAGATGTGAGAAGAAAAAAGAGAAAGTGTTTTGCCAAGAGTTGAGGGACTGCGACATTGAGTGGTAAGATAGAAAAAGCCACTAAGAAAGACTTTGTAATACCATATTCAGCAACTGCTCAGGCACTGAGCTCCAATGCTGGCATGGTATGAGAAGGGGCAGGATAAATAGAAGAGATGGCTAGGCAGACTGAAGAGTAAATAGGAACAGAGGCTAGCACCACGATTTCTTTTCTTTTTTAAACTCAAGGCAGCACTTTCACTTTAAATTTTCTCCCCCTGGAATCTGGGATAAAGGAAATGCTAGATCAGTGGAAGCAAAAAAAAAAAAAAAAAAAAGATGATGGAGGAGAACTGTGTTGATCTTCTTGAGTTCCATCATGTAAAAAAATTAACCCAATAAAGGCAAACTGTGATTAAAAACTAGTGGTGCCACACAGAAAGTAGACAAGTGATTGTGCTACAGAAATAATCAACTATCAGTATGCTGAAAAGTAAATTGTTTCTGGATGTTCTCAGTCTATTTATTCATCTCATCAAAACACAGTAGCAATGTATGTGTGTGTTGTAGTTCCCATAACCATGTTATAATATCTCCTTTTAGCTAAATAAAAGTAAAAACAAAGAGAAAGGGGATCCAGTTTTTCCCTATGATGTTTTTACTACACGAAGCTTGTTTTCAGCAGATGTTGATACTAGGCAGAGAGGCTGGTGAAAACGTGGAGCATTTTCCAGCTGTCTTTTATTTATCATTTGACTTGTAGTGAGGCTACGCAGACTGAAACCAGATATATCCATAGAACAGTGAACTTTCTGAACTAAATAATTTTTTCCTTAGATATAGTTAGACATAATGGTGTTATGTGTATATATGGTCCATGCTTGCCTAATTTAGTATTGCAGTAAGTATATGTTTGGGGTATAGGATGCACCTCTTCTTTGTCTGAACCTTTCAATTCTAACTTCAAACCTATTGGATATTGACGGCTTTAAAAACTTCTATAAGAGTTTCCACATTTTCATACAAATTTGCATCTTTTTCTAGTAACTTTATTAACTCAGATGGATTTGCAAAGTTATTATAACTGTACTGATGCTTATCTGATGGGTCATTTTTATCCTGTATTTTGAGGGTTGCTAGTGAAAAGACTTCATCTATTGCCCATTTGACTTCTGCCTAGAGGTTCCTCATAAAATAGTATGCAGGAAAGAGTCTTCTCAAGAACATGTAAATCTGGTATGTCTGGAAAATCACCTACAAAAAGCAGAGAAGAGCACCTTTGTTTTTTCTGAATGATCAGGAATATAGCCCGAATATATGAGCTTTAAGGGGTTTTATTTCGAGTTACTCACACCTGTTCAGGAAGGCCTCATTGATATGAGATTGCTCACTACAATTGGCTTGAGCCATCTCAGAATCAAATTATGCTATATTGAGTATTGCCACTTTTAATTTTTTTATCATTCCCAAAGGAATGTATTGCATTTAGTTGCAAACTGAAATTCATGATGAGGGGGAAAGTCTGTATCCAAATGAGTGTTTACAGTTTATTGTGGGATAAAGGAGTAAGAATGGATGAGTTGTGGTCACAAGTTTATTTATTTATTTATTTACATTATTTATATCCCGCCCATATCAGCCTGCAGGCGACTCAGGGCGGTCTACATATTGGCACAATTCGATGCCATCAATACATACATTCAAAAAGCAAAAGCAATTAAGTGCATTTAGACAAAAAAGACAGTGCAATAACAATTTAAAAAGAGCTATATCCTCTCAATCCAGTCCTCATCCGTTTCATCGTCTTGGCCATTCCTGGGTCATTCTCTATCTCAAGCTTGACTATTTATTCCGGGGTTCCCTTTCACCCTTTGTCTAATACAACTTAATCCTGGTTACTTCCTTTCTGCATTCTTAATCCTTGTTAATTCTAATCAAGATTTACAAATCAGGATTTGTAAGCATGTAATGGTTTCACATCTGGGTTACAAGTACATTCTTATAGCATTAAACATGATTGACACAATTACTAACCATGATGAAGGTCAAGGGAACTTGTCTGTTTTCAGCAAAGAAGTGAGCAATCTTCATGAAAGAAGCTCATAACCATGTTATAAGGACTGTACAGCATTATATCTATCCCAAATGGGAATGGTATTTTACAATTGGTTGTTTTGTACCTGAGTGTGTGGATGTTTGTTTAACTATTCAGTAAACGTGTTGTCTGTTTTATCTAGCTAAAAATCAGGAATGTGTAACCATCTCATAATTCTCTTCAAGAGTCCCCAGTGGTGCAATGGGTTAAACCCTTGTGCTAGCAGGACTACTAACTAACAGGTCAGCGGTTCGAATCCGGGGAGATTGGGTTCAGCTCCCTCTGTCAACTCCAGCTCCCCATGCAGGGGACATGAGAGAAACTGCCGACAAGGGTGGTAAAACATCAAACATCCGGGTATCCCCTGGGCAATGTCCTTGCAGATGGCCAATTCTCTCACACCAGAAGCGACTTGCAGTTTCTCAAGTCTCTCCTGACAAAGAAAAAAAATTATCTTCAAGTTTGCTGAACTCCTCATCATAAAATATGGGAAGTTGTTTACTCATCGCTCAGTATATACTGTGTTAATTTGTGTGGTATTTGTCCATTACTGTAGTAAAGCTTGTTTTTTCAACTAAGGAAGGAATCACATTTTGTATAAAGCATTAAAATATAGTATTAGGACTGTTATTCTTACAGCCTTAGCCAAGTGTAAGGTTAATTTGGCATTGGGGATTAAAGCTATCATTTAAGGAGAAAATAGTGAGAGCTTCCTGCTTCATATGTCTTAATGTATACAATGTAAAAATAAAGGAAGGCCCGTTGAATGCTTTCCAGATAGAGATTTTAATTAATGATGTTTGCTATTTCTTGTTGGCCAATTTGCACTATCATTTTCAGATATAAAACCTTTAAAAGACATCCAGATATTTCAAACAAAGCTTTTTAAAACTGTAACGGTGATTTTTTCTCATGGCTGTTCAGGAACATTTTCTCAGAAATCAATTTTAGCTGCTTGGCTTTGAATAGTTAGGGTTTTTTTTCTGAATAAGATCTCACAAAATGTGAGGCAGTATAACCTTTTTTTTTTTTTTGTGGAGCCCCTAGTGGCACAATGGATTGTACCCTTATGCCAGCAGTAGTGATGACCAAAAGGTTGGCAGTTCTAATCAGGGGAGCAGGGTGAGCTCCCATGTGTCAGCTCCAGCTTCTCATGCAGGGACATGAGAGAAGCCTCCCACAGAATGGTAAAACATCTTGGCATCCCCTGGGCAATGTCCTTGCAGATGGACAATTCTATCACACCAGAAGAGACTTGCAGTTTCTCAAGTTGCTCCTGACACGAAAAATACTTTCGTTATCTCTCGTGTGGATATCATCAGCTGGTGGTTGTTTCTTTCTTTCTTAGATCTGCTGTCTCTCCCTGCTCCACAAATAAGGGTTAATTATATTGTCGGTGTCTCTTTCTTAGAACAGTTAAGTGGAGACTAACCTAGTAAGAAGGATACCAGTTAGTAAAGTGCAATTCAGACCTATTCCCCCTTCTTTTGGGGCTTGTGTGGGAGAAAAGTGGCACATAAATTCATTAAATAAACTAAAAATAAATTAATATTTATTAATATTAATATAAGGGAAATGCATTGAGAAAAATAGGGAAATGCAAGACATAGGGAGTAGAATTATTTAAAGTACTTCTAGCAACAACAATAAATGTAAAAAACGAAGGCTTTCTCATTGCAGAGAGCAAAAAGCGACTATGCCATCTTGGGAGATGGCTAACCCCCCAAGGTGGCATTGGTGCTTTCTCCTCTCTGCATAATGACCCTAGTCTTAATCTGTAATTTTGACCTCAAATTATGCATCCGACATACAAATAAGGGCAATTTATACATGATTTACACATATAATTAATTTTGAAACTTTGGTGCTAGTGTTTGTTTATATAACAACAACAACAACAACAACAACAACAACAACAACTTTATTCTTATATCCTGCCTCCATCTTCCTGAAGGGACTTGAGGTGGCTTAAATGGGGATCAAGCCCAATATAAACAAAACTGCAAAATAACACAATTAAAAACATATAACAATCAACTATATTAAAACAATAAAACCAATAAAATCTAAGATATCATAAAACATGACCAAACAGCGACCAACCTATTTATGGAATGCCATTTTACCATACCATTATATATAATGGGACTTGAGCATCTACAGATTTTGATATCCACAGGTGATCCTGGAACCAAACCTACAAGAATACTAAGGTTCCATTGTATTTCACCTTGGTCAAATAACATTCAAACTGAAAAATATTTCAGTTCTAAACCTTCAGTTCAGTTCAGTGCTAAATATCCAACACAGTGCATTTTGGCACTGCTTAGTTTGGCATGCAAACTTCCCCAGATTTTCTTCTTTTCAGGCTGTGTCCAAAAGACAAATATATTTTAAGATGATATATTTTGTCATCTTAAATCCTATAAACCTCCTGTAGGAAGAATGGGAATGTTGTCCCAGAGAAGGTATTTTTCTTCTTTAGTCATGCATATTTGCCTTTAACTCACATGAAAGGGGATGTTATTTGAGTATTAGTATTACTTACTTGCATTATTTTTCTGAATTTTTTCTGAACATATTTGGAAGTATTACAAATCTTGTGTCTCCAAAATACTCTTAAACTGTAAGAGTACATTAAAGGTGAACAAAGAAGAGATGGACATCAGCTGTGCCTGTGCTCTCACCATCACCCAAGTTTTAAATTGTTTTGCTGGTTTTTTAAAATCCAAGAAATGCAATAAAAGACATTTGATGTTCTAAGGAAACCAGGTGTGTACAATCTAAAAGTAGCAGAGCTTTTTAATATTTCATTTTCTCCACAAACAGGTTCATACCAAGTTCCACTGCAGGCAGGCACATGCTCCAGGCAGTGACACTTCATGCTTGACATTTTCCTATGATGGTACAATTCTTGCCAGTCGGGGAGGTAAGTGACCAGATTTCTTTCCATATATAGTCTTGGGTACAACTTGTTCTGAAGTTAATGCTGAATTTGCAGAACAGTTCCAAATTTCAGTGTGCCAAAGCCAAGACCCATTCACTTTGTGAGTCAACATCCGCATTACCACTACTTTTTCAGTTGCTCTGGGTTCCATCTGTACAATGAAGAGCACAAGCCACAAGTTCCATTGGACATTTTGCTAAGAAAGGGATAACGAACAGAGAAAGGGAAGGTGGTGGTTGTAATCCAGGAGGTTCCAAAGTTCAATAGTGGTCTTCAGTGATTGCCCAGCTATGCCATCCTCTAACTGTGACTCTAGTACATATTTTCAAAAATAGTTATATTATCCAAACTGACAGCCCCATGTCAAGTTCTCTCCCAAGTCTGCATTTAATTCAGCCCACTGATATTCCACAGCACTGGTTGGTGGGAGTCCAAGGAAATGTCACCACAACATGAGCAAAATTGAACTGTGGGATTTGGCAGCTGAAGCCAGACTGCCATTTTCAACAGTAATCTTGCTTTCTCAGAACACATACTTTGGCTATAATGTAGAAGCGTGTAGAATAATTACAGAATACAATAGTAGATATAGCTGGCAGCTGTGTGATAAATCAGATTTTTATAAGATAATGATGTAAATTCACTTAAGTTAATAGATTAATTTGTGAATAAGCATTTCTTCAAATTTTGCATTCAAGTTTCTACGTTTTACATTCAAGTGGCTTAAAGCGCTGAGCTGCTGAGCTTGTTGACTGAAAGGTCGCAGGTTCGAATCCGGGGAGCGGCGTGAGCTGCTGCTGTCAGCCCTAGCTTCTGCCAACCTAGCAGTTCAAAAACATGCAAATGTGAGTAGATCAATAGGTACCGTCAGGCGGGAAGGTAACGGCGCTTCATGCAGTCATGCCAGCCACATGACCTTGGAGGTGTCTACAGACAACGTCGGCTCTTCGGCTTAGAAATGGAGATGAGCATCACACCCCAGAGTCGGACACGGGTAGATGCGGGGTAGATGCGGGGAATGCCGTGGATGTGGCGTACCTGGATTTCAGTAAGGCCTTCGACAAGGTCCCCCATGACCTTCTGGCAAGGAAACTAGTCCAATGTGGGCTAGGCAAAACTACGGTGAGGTGGATCTGTAATTGGTTAAATGGACGAACCCAGAGGGTGCTCACCAATGCTTCCTCTTCATCCTGGAAAGAAGTGACGAGCGGAGTGCCGCAGGGCTCAGTCCTGGGCCCGGTCCTGTTCAACATCTTTATTAATGACTTAGATGAAGGGTTAGAAGGCAGGATCATCAAGTTTGCAGACGACACCAAATTGGGAGGGATAGCCAATACTCCAGAGGACAGGAGCAGGATTCAAAACGATATTGACAGATTAGAGAGATGGGCCAAAACTAACAAAATGAAGTTCAACAGTGACAAATGCAAGATACTCCACTTTGGCAGGAAAAACGAAATGCAAAGATACAGAATGGGGGATGCCTGGCTCGAGAGCAGTACGGGTGAAAAAGATCTTGGAGTCCTCGTGGACAACAAGTTAAACATGAGCCAACAATGTGATGTGGCAGCAAAAAAAGCCAATGGGATTTTGGCCTGCATCAATAGGAGCATAGTGTCTAGATTGAGGGAAGCCATGGTGTCCCTCTAATCTGCTTTGGTTAGACCTCACCAGGAATACTGTGTCCAATTCTGGGCACCACAACTCAAGAGTGATATTGACAAACTAAAATGTGTCCAGAGGAGGGCAACTAAAATGATATAGGGTCTGGAGAACAAGCCCTATGAGGAGCGGCTTAAGGAGCTGGGCATGTTTAGCCTGAAGAAGAGAAGGCTGAGAGGGGATATGATAGCCATGTATAAATATGTGAGAGGAAGCCACAGGGAGGAGGGAGCAAGCTTGTTTTCTGTTTCCTTGGAGACTAGGACGAGGAACAATGGCTTCAAACTACAAGAGAGGAGATTCCATCTGAACATGAGGAAGAACTTCCTGACTGTGAGAGCCGTTCAGCAGTGGAACTCTCTGCCCCGGAGTGTGGTGGAGGCTCCTTCTTTGGAAGCTTTTAAACAGAGGCTGGATGGCCATCTGTCAGGGGCGATTTGAATGCAATATTCCTGCTTCTTGGCAGGGGGTTGGACTGGATGGCCCATGAGGTCTCTTCCAACTCTTTGATTCTATGATTCTATGACTGGACTTAATGTCAGGGGAAAACCTTTACCTTGCCTTTTACCTTAGTTTCTACATAATTGTGATTCCTTTCTTTCCTCTCTGTTGATTTCAGTTTTCGTTAACCGTCCCCAGAATGTCACAGGTAGCCAGGTGGCTGTTCATAAATAAATTAGTGCCTGACCCACATGGCATACTTTCGAATAAAACCATTATGAAACTTGATCTTTAATGTTCACTTTCTGAAGTTGCTTTCCCAACTATAATATTTTATGGGGTAGGACTGATGTTAGCTTAATTTTAATCATCTTAATGTGTTATAAAGAGTGACAATTTGTGCTTTATGTAATATAAGTTTTAGTCCAGACCCTTATCAGTAAGCGCAGATGTGTAGTCAACAATCAGTCTAAGATTAGCACACCTGCGCAAATGCGAGAGATCAAAAAAGAGATCATATTTGGAGGAATATGAACTTCCAGTGAAATCCCAATGGTCTCCCTTGATCTTTGGTGCTGTTTGCTTGTCGGATATGAGAGAACTAAGATGGCTCAGCTGCAGCCCCACAGGAGAAAAATTTACAGAAAAATTGCTTATGTGTGTTCCCAGTTTCATTTCCATTGAGAGTAAGCTTGGAACTTGATAGAAATACAAGAAAATGATGTTTAAAGATCTCCTTCTGACCCTGCAAATCTTTCTTTAAAAGCATCATTGGATATAGTTTTTGTTACAGTAATGAAAGATTATTCAGTTACATATAAATGATCATAAAAATTGGATATAATTAACTTTAAAAGATGTCCTGCGTTTCTGCTGACATGGTGGGAATTTAAGCAATTAAATTGTCTTGTCACTTTATGTGAAAAGAAATAGTTGTGTTTGTGAAAGTTTTATCTCTGATGTGATGACAGAAATTGTGTGTCCAACTAAATAACACGATCTGGTACAATACTTCCAAGCACAAAACTCTCCAGACCATCTTACCCATGATATTTTTTTTTACTACAAAAAGATTTTATTAACTTCACTATAAAATGTATTTTGTGTGAGCATACTTTCTGTGTGTACCATCTTGTTACAACATGAATAATGAGTAGGACACTGTGACTGAGAGGAAAAGTGATATATAAATCAATAATAACAACAACAACAACAACAATAATGATGATGATGATGATGTAAATAAAGTCACAGCTACTACTACTACTACTACTATCAACATACAGCAGTAAGAAACTAGTTTACATTCCCATTTGAGATTACGTTTCTTAGTGTGGATGAGTAAAGTTTGCTACCGAGCACAATTCAAAGTGCTGGCTTTAGCCTATAAAGCCCTAAATGGTCCTGGCCCAGCTTATCTGTCTGAACTTATCTCCCTCTATAAACCATTATGGAGGTTAAGATCTTCTTGGGTGGCCCTGTTCTAGATCCTGCTCTCAGTTGCTGGAGACAAGAGACAGGGCCTTCTCAGTGGTGGCTCTTCGGCTCCAGAACACTCTCCCCAGTAAGAGTAGATCAGTGCCCTCCCTCCTGGCCTTTAGAAAAAAAACAAAGATGTGGTTGTGGGACCAAGCTTTTGGCAAGTAATGCAGTACAAAGAATAATTAGGAAATATGTGCAATGGCAATCAGAAGGGCTACGGTGTACGATTCTTGGATCATCTGATTTTAATATTTATTCTAGGATGATTAATTTGTCTTAATTGTCTTAATTGCTTGAATGTCGTTTTGTCTAATGGTTTTGATTATTTTAATTTATAGTTACATGTTAGTGTTTAGTTTTATGACTTTTTTCTTTCTACATATATGTTGCCATTGAATTTTTACCATTAGTATCTTGTAAACCGCCTTGAGTCTCCCCTGAGTGGGAAAGGCGGTATATAAATACAGTAAATAAATAATAAATAAAGTAGTATTTATCACGGACTTTCAGACCATTATTTTGGTTGACAACGAGCTGGGCTGCAGTACAAAGTTTTTCCTAACGTATTTTTAAAACATTACTAAGAGCCATCTGACAGAATTTCTCTCTCCTTTATCCCATCAATCCTGTCAAGGCCTAGACTATCAAGGCCAAAGAAGCCTTGATTGGGATTTGTTACTTTGAAGGATATTTGAAGAATTGCCAAATACATTTCTTATTCTGCATCAATGTAGAAACGCAATTACTTAGCCAAGTTTTTCAAAATCCAATTATCATGGACAGAAAGTAAGGTGAAACCTTCTGAACAGGGGCACAGACAGCAAAACAAACACCACAGGGGTGTTAAGCCATCTTTGTGCTATCCCAAGTTAAAAAGATATATTTAAAAATGTATCTGTTCCAGCTTACAAACAAATTCAGCTTAAGAACAAACCTACAGAATCTATCGTGTTTGCAACTTGGGGACTACCTGTATTTACTTTGACCTGACTGTGGTATGGAGAACCTTTGCTCTTTCAACTGCTTTCTTCTCTCCCCGACATGGGTCCGGAACTTGAGAATTAGTATTTGATCCTATCTTACCAAAGAGGGTTCCATTTATTCTGAAAGCAGGACTGATCTTAGTTGAGGGTTCACTCAGTGCATGCATGCCTCTGTGGCTGATGAAGTATGACCTATGCTGATTCTTAGGAAGCGTTCGTATGGCATTTCATCCAGGTTAGCTCAGTTTTTGAAGACCACCTAACATCATGCCTTATGGTTAGCTGACTCTGTCATCTTTCATAGAAGGAAAACATTGTAAGGGATGCAGTATCTTGGGTAACTCTGTCTTTGGTGATATTCCAGTAGTTTTATCATGCTGATTTGTATATAGTATCCCAGAGAAATGTTGGAACTTTTACTCTGTCTGACTTTAGAAAATGTAATAAATTAAATTGCGCTTGAAGAGTTGCAGCCCTCTCAGAATTTTTAGATTGCAAGTATAATCTTTCTTTGCATTCTTAGCCAGGTGACCTCAGAACAAATGGCATCCAACTGTCCAGCCATTTAGAGAGACCCTGTGGCAGGAAATCAAAGCATTCTTTTACAAGAGGAAATCTAAACTGAGTAGTAAATATAAGGAAAATGTCTGAGTTTCCCTCTGAACAATTATAGTAAAGAGTGCAGTATTTTGTCATTCTTTCATAAGATTTTTTTTCTTGTTTCTTCCATAGGTGATGATACTTTAAAAACATGGGACATGAGAAAGTTTAAAACACCTCTTAATTCTGTGGTTGGTCTCCCTAGTTTCTTTCCTATGTAAGTAGATGAAATATTTAAGGGTGAATAAAATCACACTATAATTGGAGTTCTTAAAGAAATCAGAAAATAAATACTGAAAAGTTGTCTGAAAGTACAGACCTATGGATACTTGAGAATTAATCCCAATCAACTTGAATGCGACCATTATGTTGAAATCAGCAAAAAATTATTTAATGGAGGCACACTTCCCAAACATATGTGCATGAGAAAAATGGTTTGTACCATCAAGTGACATTGACAATAAGATCATGTTGTAATGAAGTTATTTTGTTTAGTGTCTTTTAAATATGGTTTATTTTTTTAACTGGTTTTTAAACATTTTGCAGCTTAAACACTTTTTCACATTTGTAATTTGCAGATTTTAAATTATTTTTTAAAAAAAAATCTTTTGAAAGCCATCTTGAGTCCCAAACTAGGAAAAAGATGGGATATGAATAAAGATGGTGATGACGACGGCGATCCTTCATAAAGCTGTTTCAGTCTTATACAACTTTGATTTATGAGAAAATCACAGGGGGCATGATCAAAATCGGGTTTTTTTCTTCCATTTTTGAAAATCTTAACAGGCAGCTCGGTTTTGTCAGTTTTCATTATTTTGAACATGGCTGTAATTTTAGTTGTCATATACTGTTAAGAATCTAATACAAATTTGTCATAATTCATAAATAGGATTTCCAGTGATATACTTAATCTGCCCTTCGTTTTGTTTTCAACAGGACTGACTGCTGTTTTAGTCCAGATGATAAATTGCTTGTAACTGGTACTTCTGTTAAGAAAGGACATGGTAATGGAAAACTACTCTTTTTTGAGCGGGAGACATTTAAGAAAGTGTATGAGATAGATGTCACAGATGCAGTAAGTTAATTTGTTCCTCTTATTCATACATAAAAATGCAGGTTCTGATTTCCCACTTGTATAGCTAATTGTAACTGATGTTGTTGCTCTAAAATATGTGCATATAATTAAATGTATATTGAATTTTTGTAAAGCCGATATTCTCTTAAAAATAGGATATCACATCATAACCCTCAGAGTTGATTGCTACTTTTAGCATTATTGGTAAACTGCAATTAGAAAACAAAATTCCTATCTGGAATTCCAAAGTCCAAAATATTTCAAAACAGGCCTCATGGGTAGCTGACTTAGTGACACCTTGAACCTGTGATGGTTTAATGTACACAAACTTTGTTTTGTACACAAAATTATTAAAAATAATCTTCAGGCTGTCTGTATAAGGTGTATATGAAATATGAATTAATATTTTGTGTAAATTTGGGTTCCATGTCCTAGATATCTCATATATATATATATATATATATATAAGGCTTGTGCATAGATTCGTTTTGGATGTTTGTTTGGGCACTTGTAACAGCAAGGGCTCCGCTGCCATGTTTTTTTCGACTGAAACTGACCATTTGGCTGCCGTTTGCAGCTACTTTCAGTTCTGTTCGGGATCATGTGGCATGTGGAGAGGCTGCCACGTGCTTGCATGGGGTTTCCCTATGAACCCTGCCTGTTGGGCCAATCAGAATAGAAGAAAGCTGTGACATGTTTTATGTAAGTTGTGGCTATTTAATGGGCCTCCATTGCTCAGTTGCATTCATGCTCAATCACTGAAGTCAGATTGCCTTGTAGTTCACTTGCTTGCAGCTTTAGCTTTTGGCTTGGCTTGTTGAATCTTATTTATTTCTTGATTTTTCTAGTTTTTCCTTTATTTTTTATTTAGGGACTGGGAGTTGGAAAGTACAGGTGGGTGGGTGCGCAGGGTTTAGGGACATGTGGGTGGATGTGCTTTTCTTTTGGGGTAGCTCTGAGCTTTGAGTCACCCTTTAGCCTTTACTAAAGCCTTTAGCTTTGTCTCTTCTCCCCTTAGTTTTTTTTCTTCTCACTTCTCTCTTTCAGAAAGGATTTAAAAAATATTATTGTTATTAATAATTATAAGAATTATAGCAAACAGCAAAGCCTCATTCTCAGAAAACCTACCTACCTACTTGCGTATTATTATTTGTATTCCTAAAAATTGTACCAGCAAAACACTACCAACCAAAGTTCTACCAGCCTTCTTTTACTAGTCCTATTCTTTGCAATATCTCTGTCTTCTTGATTTTATTTAATCATAATAATTTGGCCACTAGCAGTCCCAGTCCTCATCTTCTCCAATTGCCAGCCGACGGTCTGCCTGACCTGAAGTCATTCTTCTCCTCTTGTCCCTGAGCCCCTCCAGTGCCTTTTTTTGAGATTGCCACCGCCTTGCCTTTCTGAATCAGTGAAGCTGATTATCTGCTCTGAACTGCCAAGACTCAAAATTATATAATTTTCTACAGAAACATTGTTTTTTCCCCCAAACATGGCTAGATTTCCCACAATACATTTTGAAAATGCCCCCCCCCCCCGCTAGGGGATCATACAGGAGTAATTTTCTAATAACAGGACATGCTGCTTGCTTGTGAATGGTGGGCTGCTGGCCTCTTCCAGTATGTTATGAGAACAAGAAATGCAAAAGCTTTGAAAGAAGTTGCTGTTGTTTTATTTTATTAGTAAAGAAAGTGTAATAGTGAGCTGTGTGATGTAGAAGTGTATCTTTGACATTTGGCAGGAAGGAATGGTGCCCTGCTGCTCCTCCTGGAAGAGATATAGGCAGGGCCAGTGGGGATACCTTTTTGGGGATTTTTTAAGGTTTTATTTCTAGAAAGAAAATAAATTCCTAAAAATCAGGGTATGACCCAAACATTATGAAACTTGGTGGGCTAACAGTGGTAGATGTGTCCAAATGTGGCCATTTTCATCCTGATAACCCTAAAAATGACAGGAAGGGGAGCCCTGAGAGCACCCCCATTGCTGCCAATGGGCCGGATCTTGGCACATTTTTCAACTGCAGACTGAAAACAGTTTTTCAGGTGGTGACAATTTTCGGAAGGTCTGCAAAAATAGATCCACGGGCCCACTGAAATTTGGATAGCAGAAACAGATTGCTATTCAGTAGGCTTGTGCATTTCAGCTGAACCTCAATCAGTTTCTGCTGGCTGAATTTCGGGATGGTAACTGAATTGGTAGCTGGCTGAATTTTCAAGATGGCAACTTAGGTCTGAGAAAGAAAGAAGTTAATACCACTTGATTCTGTCGGACAAATGAGGTCATCTTTGGTTCAACAAATAGTGTGAAGTCTAGAATCTAGGAAAGTTATATATATGTTATAAATAAAGTTATATATATATATATGTATATGTTTGTATATGTATGTATATGTGTATTTATGTGTGTGTACACACACACACACACACACACACCCAGCATCACAAACCACTGTTTCTCCCTTCGAGTCCTTTGGAGTTTGACCTGTTAAGCCTGGGTTTTCTGGCAAAACTTCCCCTTGTAATACTTTTACTTGATTGGATTTTGTTTTTGTGGTGAATATATTTTTTCAGTCCTTTATTTAGAGCATAATTTTGTGGCTGTTTCCTCCAAGGAAATCACTTCAAGTTGATTGGGATTAATTCTCCAGTATCCATAGGATTGCAGTTTCAGACAATTTTTCAGTGTTATTTACTGATTTCTCTTAGAATCCCAATTATAAAGTGGTTTTATTCCCCCTTTGTTGTGCTGCTGCTTTGTTTTGATTTGCTTAGTAAAAACAAACTATTTAGTGAGAGTAAATATTAGAGTACAGTTTCTCAAATCAGTATTTAACCTTGCAGCTCTTTGTTATTCAGTTTGTTTCATACTGCAGTATAAAATAACGGATTGCTTATTTATATTTGCAATAATGATTTATGCTATATTTTTGTATAGAGCCTGTGTTGTTGTTTTTATTGTTGTTGTTGTTCTTGTGTGCCTTCAAGTTATTTGAGTTATGGCGATTATCATGGTTTTTATCAAGATTTTTCAGAAGGCCTTTGCCTCGGTGAGTGCGTTGTCCAAGGACACCCAGTGGGTTTTCATAGCTGAGAAAGGATTTGAACCCTGGTTTCCAGAGTCATAGTCCAGCCCTCAAACCACTACATCATTCATAACTAAATTTATTAAAGGCCAAGTTGTTTTTAGATATTAAAGATATTTTGATTGTCATTTGAAATGTAATGTGACTCTCCCTTGCATAGTTTAATCTTACATGTTAAACTATCTATATTTCAGGAAGGACTGAAGGTTTATTCAGGGAAAGGTGGCTTTGTATACCCATTCCATATAACATACTCATTACATAATTACAAAAGTAATTATACTAGCTTAGGTAGAATTTAGATGTAGAACAAATTGTTGAAGAGAGGGCAGAAGATCATTCATGAATCATATTTAATCTATGAGCAGAATAACAAGGCTTGTTAAGTTAAATGATAAACCTTATGGGTTCAACATATAAAATGGAATGCAACTGAATACTTCTGTATCAAATTTAGACGATATGGGAAATACAATTTTTACAGCTGTTCAGTTTTACTTTGCTAGACAACGGGGATGGGGGGAATCCAGACATTATAGATAATTTTTAAATGCTTAGGGGCTGTAAACCTAATCTTTAAAACTGCTTGGTAAATAGCCAGTAGATTTTGGCCTGTAAATGAACCTGGTATTTAATGGAAACTTAATGGCTACTTTTAAATGCTTGACCAAAGTGGTGTCTAGCATTCCTTTCTGTCATACCAAACAAGACTTTGTTCACCTCTTTTCCTTGAAGTCTTTTATGGGAGTGTACATTATTATTCCAAATCTTTTGTTTTTCTATATGGGTTAACTTGAGTACTTACAGGCTTATCCAGAAGACATTTCGCCAGTGCAGTCCATACTGAACTGGTGAATCAGTTCATATTACCTTGCGATTATAGTACTGGTATAGTGCTTGGATCCTTCGGAAGAACCAGCTCTCTCTGTAATTTGCCCCCCATCATCAGTGCACTGCTATGGTACAAAATTGCAGTACCCTGCTGGAGCCTCAATACCCTAAAGCAGGCATGGGCAAACCTGGGCCCACCAGATGTTTTGGGCTTCAGCTCCCACAGTTCCTAACAGCTAGTAGGCTGTTAGGAACTGTGGGAGTTGAAGCCCAAAACACAACAGAGGGCCCAAGTTTGCCCATGCCTGTGCTAAAGGCATCAGATCCTATTTGATTGTGGAAGCTAATCAGGATCAGCTCTGGTTAGAAGAAGGAATTGACAAGCTACCTCTGAATATTCCTTGTTTAGACAAACCTTGTGAAATTCATTGGGTCACCTTCAGTTGACAAGCAACTTGAAAGCACATGTCCACATGCACACACAGAGAAATTTTAAGAAATGCTAGGATCATAGAAATGTATCAAGATGCCTTACATTGAGATTATTGGTGTGTCTGGGTTGGTATTGTCTACTTTGCTGCACTCTACAGTGTAGGCTGCCTCTGAAGCCCCTAATCCGTAGTCTTTTTTTCTCAGTATACTTTTTTCCCACTCTGTTTTGCTTTTTCTGTCAACCAGCTATTATAGCCCAGGAGATGCCTATCTTAAAAACAGAAAGAAAACTGGAAGAAAGCTTTTTGCAGTTAATCATTTCTCATAAATTACCACTGATCCAGGGGGTAGGATGGATGGTCCTCCGAGGTCCCTCGGGTACTAATGTAACTCCTTAACTCTTCGTAGTTGCAAATATCTACCCTACCCTGACAGGGAATTCCTCATGAGGTTTTCATACGGGAGTCATTCACAGTTCTACCTAGAGATGACTGCATAGCATGCACCATTACCTGATCATGTGATTGTCATTGTAATTTTTAATACAGTGTTCTGATAGAAAGATACTATTATATCCCAGCACTCAGCCTCACAGTTGAGATAATTTATATTATAATAAAAACCCATGCAGAAATATAAAAACAGGATAAAAACA